AAAAAAAAAAAAAACTCCAAAGCTTTTTTTGTCTCCTAATGTGGTGACTGAGGGCTGGGGACTCCTAGACAGCCTCAGGTTGGGGGTGGTTGCCTGGGATCCAACCATGTTATCAGAAAGTTGGGACTTTTGGTCCCACCCACCCCCATCTCTGAGGGGAGGGGCTAGAAGTTAGGTTTATCACCAATGCCCAGTGATTTATTAGTCATGCCTGAGTAAGAAAGCCGCCATGAGAACCCACGTGGTCTGGATTTGGGGAGCTCCTAAATAGCTGAATATGTGGAGGTTCCTAGAGGGTGGTGTTCCCGAAAGGGCTTTGAAGCTCCACACCCGCTCCCACATGCCTCCCTGTATGTCTCTTCCATCTGGTTTTATCTGTTTCTTTTGTAATAAATGGACAAGTGTAAATAAAGTGTTTCTCTAGTGAGTTAACTCCATCCAAGTGGTAGTCCTGGGGACCTTCTAGTTTATAACTGGTTGGACAGAACCACAGGTCACAGACTGGGATTTGTGACTGACCCTTTAATTGTGGGACAGTCTCCAGGTATGTAGTGTCAGAATTGAATTGAATCAGAAGATACTCAGCTAGTGTCTGCTGGGGGATTGTTTAGTGTGTGGTAAAAAAACACACATCTGATATCAGAAGTGTGTTGTGAGTATCATAGGAAGTAAATTTAGTTGTTCCTGCCTTTCAGAGTACGTGACACTAATTTTGAAAAGAAATACATGCACTGGTTTAAACTTAAGGCAGACAGATACTTTGGGCGTTTATGTGTAGACCCTGTGTGGTTCTACTTGTGTACTTTGGGGCCCGTGACAAGACAGAATTATCTGCCTATAGCTAGACTCCTCCCACGTACTAGCCAGGAGCCAGGCTTCTGTGGTGAGCTCGTTCTCTTCTCTCTGCCTCTGTTCTCTTCAGTAGGCCTGTGGCCTACTGACCAGCTGGTTTCAAGGTCATACATGCTGTGTAGACATCAGAATGTTGTGAGTGGTTTGCAGTGATGGCTGGTTGGTATGTGTCTTTGCCTTTTCTTCAGGTTGGATGAGGCCTTGGCCCAGTACTTTGGGGAAGGAGCAGAGGTGGCCCAGCAGGAAGAGATCTACCCAACCATGCCAGAGCCCGTCAGAAAGTGTCCACAGTGCAACAAGGACATGGTTCTCAAGACTAAGAAGAGCGGTGGGTCAGTGTCCTGGCTTCTCCCCTGCCTCTGTTCCCCAGCACCTGCTGTCAGCTGGGCAGGTCTCTGAAAAGCCCTGCTATTTTATTTTCATAGATTAGTTAAAGACTGCCCTGCTTTGTAGCCCCAGCCAGGTATTGGACTAAAAGGATAGCACAGTTGGAGCAGCACCTGTGGCTCAAAAAGGGTAGGGTGCCGGCTCCATATGCTGGAGGTGGCAGGTTCAAACCCAGCCCCAGCCAAAAAAATGCAAAAAAAAAAAGGATAGCACAGTTGAAGTGTGCAGTGCTCCAGGAATTCAAAGGAGGTGAGAGACTGAGTGATAATGGGTTTTTTGGTCCACCCTGGGTGGGACATCATTTACCCAATGTGTAGTGAATGGTGGAGGAAGATGAGCTTCAGATCCAGATAGACGTGAGTTTAAATCTCACTTCTCTCTGAAGTAAGCTTTGTGGCCTAAAGCATATATTTAGTGACTCTGAGCCCCAAATTCTTCTTTCATAAAACAAGGCCAGTGGTAGTTTCCTCACAAGCTGTGTTAAGGATAAAGATTTGATGAAAAGGACCAAGACTATACATCAGGATGGGACATGGTGGCTCACAGCTGTAATCCTAGCACTCTGGGAGGCCGAGGCAAGTAGAATGCTTGAGCTCAAGAGTTCCAGACCAGCCTGAGCAAAAGTGAGACCCCCTTTTCTACTAAAAATAGGAAAACTAGTCAGACATAGTGGTAGGCACTTATAGTCCCAGTTACTCAGGAGGCTGAGGCAAGAGGATCACTTGAGCCCAAGAGTTTGAGGGTTTTGTGAACTATGATGCCACGGCACTCTACCCAGGATGAAAAAGAGTAAGACTCTGTTTCAAAAACAAAAGATTGTACAGCATATCGCCAGATCATTGGAAGTGTTCACCAAGTACTTGTTGTGAATTGGGCCTGGGAAGCTTAATTCCTGTGTACTTAATTCTAGTACACAGTTTTCAGTGTACTAGATCTGAATGGGCAGTTTATCCCCAGATTAGATTGCCTAGTTTGGCCTGGTTGTCCAAGCTAGTGACTGGCCACTGGAGGAGATTGACAGGGAAAGACGTGCTGGAAAAGAGGTGGCAACTGGCTGTCCCTCACTGGCATAATACAAGGTGCTCTGTAAACATTATCTTCCTCCATCTGCATAACCACTCTGGATCCTGCATAGCAAGGATTCCCCACCCCACCCCACCCCCTGCCATTGTTTTGCAGACGGGGTCTGGCACTTACTGATGGAGTACAATGACATCATCATAGCTCACTGCAACCTTACACCTTTGGGTTCAAGTGATCCTCCTCAGCTACCCAAGTAGCTAGGACTGCAGGCGTGCACCGTGCCCAGCTAATTTTTTCTGTTTTTGTAAAGATGCAGTCTTGCTCTTGCTCAGGTTGGTCTCAAACTCTTGACCTGAAGCAATCCTCCTGCCTCAGTCTCCCAGAGTGCTAGGATTATAGGCGTGAGCCACCACACCTGGCCTTTTTTCCTTGCTTTGGTTTTGGTTTTTTGCAGTTTTGGCTGGCGCCGGGCTTGAACCCAACCACCCCCGGTGTATGGGGCTGGCACCCTACTCCTTGAGCCACAGGTGCTGCCCCCTTTTCCCTGTTTTTTAAAGTGAAAACTGAGGCTTACTGGGTCTGGGGCACTATTCAAAGTCAGACAACCCTGGCAAGCAGTAAAGGCAGAGTTTGAACCCAGGACTTCAGGGCCCTTTGCCCTTGCCTGACCTGCAACATTGTGCTGCCTGCCTGCTGCTGAATGAGGAAGGAGGTTTCCTGCCTTGCTTCCAGCTGCCAGGGGACTGGCTGGCCTGGATGAAGAGAAGGCACCCTCCAGCTCTCAGGAGTAGGAGGACTGTGGGCTAGGCCTGGAAGCAAGTTGGCAGGGCTCGTACCACTCGTAGACAGCAGCCAGTGCCACTCTAGGCTCAGCCCAGAATCTGGGCACATATTTCAGTGTGCAGTAAATGCTGCCGATGGTTTTCTTTGCCACGTCAGTAGGTTACTGGATCAGTGATCACTGGAACATAAAGGGAAAGGCTGTTGTTTTTTTAGCTCTGCATTCTCCAGGTACTTGATAACGAAGGAATGCTTCTCAGAGTCTGGAAATTGTCTTGTGGGATTAGCACAACAGGGTTCATCTGATAACTTCCATCTCTCAGTTTGTGAATTTCCTATTTAAGTAATTGGGGTTTAGTGTTGGTTTTTCCTGTCTAGCCATACCCAGGCACACTCAGAGGTATTCTAAGTGATGTGCATGTGGACTCGTCAGACCCTGAAGTTTCATGACTGGAAGGAATTGAGATGTGTTGACCAGGAACACCAAGTGGCGTGGGCGCTGGGTGCCAGGCCCCTGGCAGCAGATGCCTCCCAGTGTGGCTCCTCCTTTCATGCATGTTTTTGAGCAGCTTTCCAGAGCACTCCAAGCCTCTGTTTACTCGCCTGCAAACCAGAGGTTGTGCTGGCCATGCCCCAAACTGGCAGGTGGTAGAAAGAGCCTCTCCTGCTTGGTTGGTTGTTAGTTTAAGTACAAAGCAGGCTCAGCATTCACACCTTCATTTTTAGAGAAGTTGGAATAAATAGGCTTCTTTTTCTGAGTCGTTCAGCATCAGTGCCTGTGTACCCAGTGACGTGGTCTGACCTAAAGCCATGTCCCCAGGTTCTACCTTAGCTGCATTGGTTTCCCGGAGTGTCGAGCAGCCCTGTGGTTTCCTGACTCGGTGCTGGAGGTCAGCAGGGATGGCAGCGTGTGTCCAGTCTGTCACCCGCAGCCTGTGTACAGGTGAGCCGGGTGGCGTGTCGGGACCACCTCTCAGTGAGTGTGTGCCCATCTTTGCCTTCCTCTGGGAAGTGAGTCCCTGGGAATCTCACTTTGAGGCCCCACAGGGTTCCAGTTGCAGTTAGCAGCAGCCAGGTCACCTGGCCCGGGCCACTTCTGCTGTGTTTCATGCCGTCCCTAACTCAGCCCAGCCTAAGAAAAGGCTCCAGATGGCATGTCCCCAGCCAGGAGGGCCCCTTTCCCTACCCTCCCCAGATAGATCATAGCTGCACTGGGCTCAGGAAATGACACGTTGAAAATGAAGAGCCCTGGTGTAGGATAGTGGCTTTTAGACTACTTGATCACTGGACCCCTCGCTCCCTGAAAAATCATTGAGGAGCCCACAGAGCTTTGTCATGGGTCATTTATTAGTTTATACCATATTCACAGTTAAAGTGGAGACATCTTTTATTTTTTATTTTTTTATTTTTCATTTTTTGAGACAGAGTTTGAAGCTGTTGCCCTGGGTAGAGTGCCGTGGCATCACAGCTCATAGCAACCTCCAACTCTTAGGCTCAAGTGATTCTCCTGCCTCCGCCTCCCAAGTAGCTAGGACTACAGGGATCTGCCACAATGCCCAGCTATTTTTTGGTTGCAGCCGTCGTTGTTTGGCGGGCCCAGGCTGGATTCAAACCCCCCAGCTCAGGTGTATGTGATTGGTACCTTAGCCACTTGAGCCATAGGCACCGAGCCTGGCGATGTCTTTTAAAATAGTTATTCATTTACAATAACTACATTACGTACTAACATAGATAACTAACTTGGTTTTTATAATAACATTCCTGTTTTCCATATCTGCCTCCACAATCTGTTGAGTTATTGTATGTGCTGTAACCTCTGGAAAATTCTAGAGCACACACAGGGAAGAACAAGTGCGATACAGACATGACTTCTCAGCATTGTTATAAAATAGTTCCTGACCTCCCCTTGAAAGGGCTTAGGAGTGCTCAGGGGCCCTGGAATCACACTTAGAGGGCGGCTGGCACAGAGGGGTGGGGCCTGTCAGATGTGACTTCACTGAGTTCTTGGCCAAGGCCCTTGGATGTCGTCTGCACTGCTTCCCTCTGTGATGACTTGGGGAGTCTAGGGGACTGATGAGGGCCTCACATGGGCTTCCTGGAGTGTGAGGGGTGGTGTGGTCTAGGGCTGGAGCAGGGAAATGCTGGCACCTTGTTGTTAATTTTTGTCTCATCTCCTGGCCTCACCAGGTTGAAGTTCAAGTTTAAGCGTGGCAGCCTTCCCCCAACCATGCCTCTGGAGTTTGTCGGCTGCATTGGCGGATGTGATGAGACTCTGAGGGAGACCCTGGACCTAAGATTCTCACGAGGCCCTCCCAGAGATAGCCAGCCCTCCAGCCACCTGCAGGCTAGCCAGTGCCTGAACAGGATGGATAGCAACCGGGACGGCTACCCCCTACCTGGCCTCAGACAGACTGGGCCCTCAAAGGCTCCGACTCAGACCCTCCCACCACCCACTGCCACTGGTGAAGGCAATTCCGTGACCTGCAACTGTGGGCAGGAGGCTGTGCTGCTCACTGTCCGTAAGGAGGGCCCCAACCAGGGCCGGCAATTCTATAAGTGCAGCGGGAACAGCTGCAACTTCTTCCTGTGGGCAGACAGTAGTAGCCACCTGCAAGGAGAAGGGCTTCCTGTTCCAGTACCAAGACCCGCAGGCAGCTCCCTGGGACGACTGCCAGGCTCAGGGAGCCACCTGGGTGGGTTCGCCAGCCCTGGTGATAGCAGTGGTAGCGTGTCCTGCCTCTGCAGCCAGCCAGCCATAACACGGACTGTCCAGAAGGATGGGCCCAACAAGGGGCGCCAGTTCCACACATGTGCCAAGCCAAGAGAGCACCAGTGCGGCTTTTTCCAGTGGGTTGATGAGAACATGGCCCCAGGTGAGGCCTAGAGTGGCAGGCAGGCCCCTGCCTTGGGCATTCACAGTGTCCCCACCTCAGAGACCAGAGACAGTAGAGAGAAGGCAGGGCAGTGTCATGTGGGATCAGGAAGGCCACCTGGGCTGCTTTGTGCCTTTGTGTCCTCACTTTCAGCAAGGTGATGAACACACAGTCCTCATTCCAGCTTGAAGTGTAACTGTTAGAGTGGCTGTGTGCCCAGCTTGTGCTAAGTGTGCTTCACATATACTCTCCTTCATCCTCTTCAGATGAGCGTTGTGCTCACAGAGTTATAGGTGAGGAAGGTGGGGCCCAGACGACCAAGTGCCTTTGCACAGGGTCACACAGTGACAGAGTCCAAGATTGAACGTAGGTCTGCCCAGTCCTTGCAGGATTATTACCAGCAGTCTCATTTCTTAGATGAACAGACTGATTGGTAATATTTAGGAACCTGGTGAGGGTTATACAGCTTGAGCCAGTGTTCCAAAAATGGGTATCATGGAAACTGGCACCCAGAGGCTTGATAAACATGTAGGCCTTGCAGGCGTCCTCAAACTATGGCCCGCGGGCCACATGCAGCCTGCCTGGTGTTTTTGCCACCGCTGCCTGTCCTGCTTAGTAGGCCGACTCATCCCAGGGCCCACAGTCCAGCCTCCAACGGGCCAAGGGACAGTGAACTGGCCCCCTATTTTAAAAGTTTGAGGACCCCTGCCTTAGAGCCACCTGCTGGTGCTGTAGAAACCAGAGACAGTGTCACTGTGACAGACCCACATTTTCAGCCTAAGAGCAGTCTGGCCTACACACTGCAGATACGCCAGGGCCACTTCACTTCTCACTTAGAAGTGGTGTCTGACCTCCAGGCTACCCAATGGATTGTTGGGCAGCTGACACCAAGAGACCTGCTTGGGACTGGCAGGGTTCAGACCTCAGGTCCCTTCGTAGGCAGATGGGGAGTAGGCTACAGGTCACCAGAGGCCGGCTGTCTGCTTGGATTTCTACCTTTTTTTTTTTTTTGACAGTCTCACTGTGTCATCCTTGGTAGAGTGCTATGGTGTCACAGCTCACAGAACCTCCTCTTGGGCTTAAGTGATTCTCTTGCCTCAGCCTCCCAAGTAACTGGGACTACAGGCGCACCACATAACGCCTGGCTATTTTTTTGTTGCGGTTGTCATTTAGCAGGCCGGGGCCAGGTTCCAACCCACCAGCCTTGGTGTATGTGGCTGGCACCCTAACTGCTAAGCTAAGGAGCCAAGTCTAGGTTCCCACCTCTTAACAAAGATCCATTACAGTGACATCAGTACCCCCTTACCAGGGCAGTGTGAAGCAGTGTCTCCAGGAGCTTGAGCTTCTTTAGGAGAGGCATCAGGCTACTCTAGATGGTAAATACATTGTATTGACCTTACTAGAATGAGGGAGGCTTGGCCTGTGAGGTACATGTGACTATGTTGGGACACCCTCTACCCTGCACTGTGTCTTGGATTTCTTGCCACTTCAGTGTGTCAGTTATAAATTCAGTCTTTCCCTAATTCTTCCCACAGGGACTTCTGGAGTCCCACCCTGGCAGCAGGGTAGAGGAAGAACCCAGGGGCCCGAGGGCAGAAGCAAAAGATCACGAGCCAATTCCTCAGACACAGCGTCTACAGCCAAGAAACCCCGGAAGTGCAGCCTTTGCCACCAGCCTGGACATACTCGTCCCTTTTGTCCTCAGAACAGATGAGGGCAGGGTAGGGTAGTGAGGGTCACTTCCTCAGACCTGTTCCCTTCATCTTAGGAAATGAGTTAACTAGGACCAGGTGGCCATTCATTGTCCTGGAAACTGAGGAAGTGTTGTAGCTTCCCGGACGTGTTAAAGAGGACAAGGTCCAGATCACTCTAGGGAAGGTCAGCTCTGCTGGACAGTGACCTTCTACCCAGGACTCAAACATGACTATAGCCATTGCTGAGAAGAGTCACTCATCTCCCTGTTTTCCCTTTGCTTGGCTTGTGTCATTGCCGTCTTAGTGGGTGAGAAGTGGCATCTCCTGTGATTCTGACACGCATTTATCTAATGACATTGACCATCTCTTTGTGGACTTACTAGCCATTGGTATATGTTCTTTGAAGAAGTGTCTATTTGAGTCCTTTACCCATTTTTAAATTGGATTGTTTTTCTGTTCTTCAGTTGTAGGAGTTCTTCATGGATTCTGGATACCAGGGGGATACTTGGTTTTTTACATCTTTCCAGTTTCTTTTTTTTTTTTTCTTGAGATAGAGTCTTACTGTATTGCCTTTGGTAGAATACTGTGGCATCACAGCTCATAACAACCTCAAACTCTTGGGCTTAAGTGATTCTCTTGCCTCAGCCTCCCAGGTAACTGGGGCTACAGTACCCGCCACAACGCCCAGAACCTGCCAACCTCAGTGTGTGTGGCTGGCACCCTAACCGCTGAACTGCGGGCAAGCCATCTTTCCAGTATCCACAGGCAGCTCTTTTGTGTGTCAAGACTATGAACTGAGGCAGAGTGTGTGTCTCACCCTGCAATCCCAGTACTCTGGGAGGCCAAGGCAGAAGGATCCCTTGAGCTCAAGAGTTTGAGATCAGCCTGAGCAAGAGCAAGACCCTCTCTACTAGAAACAGGAAAATTAGCTGAACATTGTGACAGGCACCTGTAGTCTCAGCTACTCAGAAGGCTGAAGCAAGAGGATTGCTTAAGCCTAAGACTTTGAGGTTGCAGTGAGCTATGATGATGCCATGGCACTGTACCCAAGGTGACAGAATCAGACTCTGTCAAAAAAAAAAAAAAAGACTGAACTGCAGGATTGGGCTATACCATGGACAGACCTAGGCATGGCCCCCAACCACCCAGCCCACTCTGCCACCCTGGGTATGTGCCTTCATCCCTGGAGCCCAGCTGCCGATCTGTAATGTGTACTTTAGTTGTAAGGCTCTTGGTGAGAATTAGAACCCGGCCTGATGGGTGGCACCTCTGGGCTCAGTAGTAGGGAACCAGCCCCATATACCAAGGGTGGTTGGGTCAAAGCCAGCCCTGGACAAACTGCAACAAAAAATTGGCGGGTGCCTGTGGTCCTAGGTACTTGGGAGGCTGAGGCAAGAGAATCGCCTAGGCCCAGGAGTTGGAGGTTGCTGTGAGCTGTAACACCACACAGCACTCTACCAGGGGCGATAAAGTGAGACTCTGTCTCTCAAAGAAAAGAAGAAAACCTGACAGTCCACTCAGGTTAGCAGTATGCAGAGCAACAAGAAACTCTAGCAGACAATTGATTGGAAAGGTTTTTAATCCTTACTGAACCTATCTCCTACAATGTGCAATGCAAGGCTGAGGAGATGAAAATGAAACTTCCCTTGCAGGGCCCAACCAAGACTGGGCACTGCCAGGGAGTCAATATGATTTTACCTTCCTGGCTGCCTTCTCTATTTTATGGAGGAAATCAAGGCTCTGATGGGTTAAGTGTCTGAGCTGGCCTTGAAACGTAGTCCCAGCCAGCCACTCCCCTGGAGCCAGGTTCCATGTGGCCAGCAGTGCTGGTGCCCACATCTGGGGATGCCAACTTTCATGATGCCGGGCAGAGATCCCCACTGCCCACTGTGATGAATTCTCTTCTTAGGATGCAGCCAAGAACTCGGGGTTCAAATTTAGCTGTACTGTTCGGTATCCAGATGTCTTAGACTAGAACACAAAGGTGGTCCCAGTTCAGCTTGCTCACCGGAGTCGTAACCATCCACCTACCTAGGACCACCAGCTCACACTGGGAGGAGTGTCAGGGTCCAGCCTGCAATCTGAACCCACATAAGCAAGTGAGCATGAGTCTGACCTCCCTGCCTGCCATTAGCCTTGAGGTGCACTGGGGTGTGAGCAGTAGAGGTGGGCAGATTGCAGCCATGGCACTTTATTCCTGCGCACCTTGGCTTTATCCACACAGCCTTAGCTTCCTCAATTTCTTTTTAAGACTATTTCTGATTGCAAAAGAAAAACGTCAGAAAAATGCAAATGTTATGGGCATAGTGTGCCAGGTTCAGGGCCCCTCCTTTGAGATGAGGCAGAGCAAGTCTCACTCGACTCCCAGCCATTGCCCTTCCCTAGAACCCTTGCAGGCATGGGTGTCAAGTGTGACTCCAGGCCCATTATTTACCTCTTGAAGGATCACCACCTTGAAGGCAGGTGGAAGTAAGGATCTGTATGGTCAAAGTCTGGGCCGACTCTCATGTGCCTGGACACTGGCTTCTAGGCAGTGGTGCTCCAGGGGGCTTGGGCCAGGAAGGTCTCTGCACGTGAGGGCTCCTCAGGCTGCCTTTGGAGTGACTGCTTTTCCATGGAGCAAGTGATGAATCAGCCTCTGCACCACTGGTGGGAGTATGAATTGACACTTCCATTCTCCCATTCCAAAGTAACAAAACCTTAGGAGAGAAACGTTGGAAATTGCAATAACGGGCAGCATGGGTGGCAGGGGCTGCATTGTCATTTCCCGGACCCAACCACTGTGACCTTTCTGCTCTGCTCCTGTGACAAGTTCCATCAGGATCTCAGCAACATTTGAATGCTGTTCACTCCGAGGAGCCTTCTAATGAGAAAGTGGCACAGACACTTAAAAGAGTTTTTATTTTTCACTTTTGGGTTTTTTTTTTTTTTTTTTTTTGAGACAGTTTTACTTTGTTGCCCTCGGTAGAGTGCTGTGGTATCACAGCTGTTGGGCTAGGGCAATTCTCTTGCCTCAGCCTCCTGAGTTACTGGGGCTACAGGTGCCCACCACAATGCCTGATTATTTTCATTGCAGTTGCACTGCTGTTTTAGCTGTCTGGGGCTGGGTTTGAACTCATCATCCTTGGTATATGGGGTACTGCCACCCCAGTTAATCCTCACAGCTACCTGTGTATTCCTTGAGCTTCATTTTATAGATGAGAGGACCAAGCACTGGCTCTGCCCAGGCTGCTCCCTCCTGGACACTCTGTCAGTAAAATGACTCAAAATGCCACTGGCTTAAAGCAAGGGCAGCTCCTGACAGTGTCTGCAACAAACCTTAGCTCAGCCTGTTTCCCACCCCTTGACCTTTGCTGTTAACATCTATACAGAGCCCTGGGGCCTCTGTCACCATCCTGTCTGTCCCACGCTGTCCTCCCCACAAATGGCAGGGGTAGAAGAGTCCCATGAGAAGATACAATGATGTGGGAAGGGCTAAAGAGAGCAGCTGGGGGTGCCACAGCCTCCCATGGCCCAGCACCCTGCTTAGGCCTCGTCCGTCAACTGTGGTGACAGGAAGTGAGCTAGACTTTGGCTCCTAGGGGATGCTGAAATGCTCTGGCTTCTCACCTGCACAGGGAGGGTGAGTCTGTCCCCACTTGTGAGGCTACAATGAGAGGCAAGGGAGGTGGAAAAAACAGAACTGATGGAGCCCACCTGGAGGACCGTGGTTACCCCTACCAATCCCAGAAAGACAGCAGGTGGGAGCAGCCTGGGACTGTAGGCTTTGGGCTTGGCAGTTCTGCCTTTTGGTGAGAAATAAAAGCCTTGGTTCCCATTGCTAACTTAAAGCTTTTAACATTTTCCTTCCACATAACTTGTTAGGGACTAAAGTTTTATGTCCCCCTCAAATAGGTATGCTGAAATCCTTTTCTTTTGGCCAGGGCTGGGTCCCACCACCTCTGGCATATGGGGCCGGCGCCCTACCCTTTTGAGCCACAGGCACCACCCCGGTATGCTGATAATAGTTTTAAGAAGAGGGACCTCTGGGAGGTGATTAGGTCCTGAGAGTGGACCTCACAGGGTTGGGCTCTGTCCTTCCCCCTCCTCCACTGAGGATGCAGCTAGGTGACACCTGTGAACCAGGATGTGGAATCTGTTCATGCCTTGATCTTGGACTACCAGTCTCCAAAACTAAGAAATTTCTGTTTATAAGCTACCTGGTCGATGGCAGTTACAGTAGCTCAAACAGATTACTTCCAAACTGATCTCACGCCCTCTTGCCAAGCTGCCAAGCCAAGCACAGGACTTCCAGAAAACTCCAAAAAGCCATACAAAAGCACCAGGACCCCCTTATTCAGCAGCATGAGTTACACATACATTAGAATTTTCTCCTTTTATTCTTGTTCACATTCTTCAAGGCATAGTTTTGTTTCAGCAAGGACACAAAGATGGGGGGTGGAGAGGGAAGGTGGAAGCTCCTCCTCTAGGCCTTTGCTACCTCTGCTGGGCTTGAGTCAGAGCAGATGGCAGCTGAAAGCAGCTTGCTTTGGCACACTGGAGGCCAGGCCAGGCCTCTCTGGGAGGAGCATACCCTCTCCTCCCCAGCAGGGCAGGGGCAGCAACAGTGGGACACCCCTGCTGTGGGCAAGGCAGGCAGCACAGGGCCTCAGCTTCCCCAGCAAGGAAGAGGCTTTCCCCGGGCCCTCAGCTGCCTGAAGAGGAAACTCACCTAGTTGGAGGGAAAGGGGACCTTCCCTTGAGGTATTAGGTGGGCAGCAAGTCACCTTGAGCTCCTACCTTGGAGCTCGAGAAGAACAAGAAAACTAATGGCACAGAAGATACGAGGAAATCACCATCCTTCAACAAGCTAAAAGGTGTCTTCTGGTGATGCCAGGTGACCCCAGACCCTAGGGAACAGAACACATGACACTACCAGGCACCGCACACCTCAGCTCCGCTACGCCTGGAGCTGGTACCCGAGGAAAGTGTTAAATCAGCAGAAAAATGGAGCTGGCTTTCTTCCCTGCCTAGGATGGTAGGAGCCATGTCTGGTCAGTGGATTTGTTGCTGGTGATGATGGACCAAGCCCAAGGTCCTGGGGTTGACTCCAAAGGGAGGAGGAGACTGCTATGTATATGGCTGGCACTCCATGTTGCCGGGGCAGCCCAACTGCACTCAAGTGATGGTGACCTGAGTTCTCTGTGCTCAGAGATCCTGGTGATCACAGCCCAAGCACACACTAATACCCTGGTTTGGAGTAGTGCACTCTCTTTTGGCTAAAAGCAAGAGAAACCCATGCTCCAAATCCCTAGGAGTCAGGTACAGTTCACCAGCATCAAAAAACTTGCCAGCCACCCTATCCCCAGCCATCTAGAGCAGCCCCTCAGGTGCCTGTAAGCTACTGTACAACGTGTAGCCAATGTCATCAATCTCCTCCTCACGTAAACTGCTGAGGAGGTTCACGTCGGGGTTGAAGTGGCAGGGAAGGCTGGCCTGTTCCAGGTTGCCAAGCAGCAGCTCCAGGGCCTGCAGAAAGCGCTGGCCCAAGGCTGCCTCATCCCAGTCCACATCTTCCTCCCCCAGACGTAGGACCACCTGGGTCAGGTGGCTCAGGCCCAGCCGCCCCAGGGCCAGGTGGCCACGACAGACACCACATAGTAGGAGGAGCAGCCGTCGGCGGGTCCCAGTGTCATGGGCATCCAGGGCCTGCAGCCTGGCAGCCTCCACTGGGTACAAATCCTGCAGCCAGAGGTTACCTGCCAGCCCCTCCAGGGGCCAGGCCAAGAGGAGGCGGCCATCAGCATCAGCACCCATGACAGCCATGAGTACAGCCACTGTGAGCTCCAGGTGCACGTGCTGCACCTCGAGCAGCAGCTCCTCCGAGGCCAAGTTGGGCCGGATCAGGCACCCGAGCAGGCTGCCGATGGCAGGCCAGTTGATGGAGGCAGCCAACGCCTTGCGGAGCAGCTCTAGCAGGACTCGAGAGGAAAGGTAGCCCCCCACCAGGAAGCGGTCCCAGGGGCTGCTCCCTCGGGGGCAGAACTCTAGCTGAGTCCTGCGCACAGCCCAGCAGCGGGGGTCCCTCGCCACAGTGTCTGTGCCTGGTACCAGGCTCCACAGGCCAGGCTCCAACACCAGAGGTACCAGGAGACGCACGTGGTCAGCGGCCCCCGCCTGCAGCCCATCGTAGAGAGGGCCCCCAGGCATAAGCGCCCCAAAGGGCAGTTCTGGGAACTTGTTCTGCAAGTAGGACTGCAGCTCAAGAGCAATATCACCAGCCAGCTGTTTGGCCAAAGCCACCTGGGCTGCAGGGATGATGACGTGATCCCTCTCGAATGCCAGCAGCTTCTCCTGGAAGGTCAGGCACAACGGTGCTGGGGAGCTAAGCTGAGGTGGAGTCTGAGGACCAGTGTCTGCAGGCCCCTCTGCAGAGTGAAGGGGCAAGGAACTGGTCTGAACAGCCCACGTGTTAAAAGAACCATACCCAGTGCCCTGCTGTGTGACAGCTCTACCCCAAAACACCTGAGAAAGCACTTAGTTCAGGTCCTCACAAATGGTGAGCACCTGTCTCAGAGTCCATCACTCTGGCCTTACAGCTACAAAAGCTTCATGCAAAACAGGAGACACAGGTCCTGTCCCTTTCTAGGCCTCAGTTTCCCCATCTGAGGCTCCCCACTATCACAGTGCTGCCACCTCACTCTGGTAGGAAGGCAAAGAAACACAGTCCCCATTAAATGTCTGAGGAGCCCATGCCCAGAGAAGGTAAGAGACTCTTGTAGGGCCACAAGGTCTGTCAGTGGCAGAGCCTGGGCTGTATCCCTGAATGTGACCACCAAAAGGCTACCACCACATCATAAGGGATGAGGTGCCACTCACCTGGAACAGAGGACAAGGGAGCCAGGGGCAACACAGGCTGGCTGAGGGCAGCAGGGGGCGGCCGGGGCTGCAAGTGTGGTGTGGCCTTGAGCAGGCTCAGTTCCTTCCAGCTGTCCCCCTTGGTGTCATCCTTATCCTGTGAGCTAGTGGCCCTGTCGATGAACTGCAGGCAGAGTGACACAGATCAGAACATCTAAAGCCCAGGCAGCCACGGCAATGCCCAAGGGCAAAGCAAACCAGGGTGCAGGGAAGAAGCAAGTGCCCTGGGCCTCAGCACCAGCCTTGGGCAGTCCCCAGTACCCCCTGGTCCCAACCCTGTCGTCCTCTTCTGGGAGCCCACTCTGCCTGTTCTTACCCGCTTCACAGCCAGGGTGGCAATGCCTAGCATGGCAGCTCCGCCCACACCCAGCACCAGGCGGGCGTTGGCCAGGAGGAAGTCCACCATGCTGCCCAGGCCCTCATCACCACGCCGCTTCCCCCGCTTCTGGGAGAAATCTGCCATGGTTTGCCTGTAAGAGAACCAGAATGCAGGGATAGCTCAGGGTGTTGGCGGCCAGATTGGGGAGGTGCTGTGGCTCCCATCATGCTAAGGTAACACACAGTCAAGACTTTGGGGGGCTGAGAGTACCTCATCAGAAACATTCACAGGAGGGGACACCAAGGCCCTGGGGGCCCAAGACAGGGCTGGGATTAGAGCTTGGGCTTTGGAGCTCCAAGCCCCCATTTATTGTAAGGAGATGCTGATTTGTCAACCCCTTTCCCCCCAAACTGCAAGCAACCCACCCCTGGAAAGAAGAGCTCACACAGCCTTGTGGCAGGTAGGGGAAGGGGCCCAACTCCCTCCATTGCACCTCTCAGGACTCTCAATATCACCAAAGATGGGTGGGTCTTATTGTGACCACTCTGATTTTACAGGGCTACAGGCTCTCAAATGACACAGTGAACGGTGAAGTCTCAAACCCACAAATGCGAAACCTCCAGATTCTTGCCCAGTCCCAGAATCTGACAGATCCACCCCAAGCCACAGGGCTGGGTCCTCAGAGGCTGCCTCTTCCAGTGGATCCTAATGGGGGCCAGACACAGCAGCCCTCCCTGATAACCTCTCAGGGGAAGCCCAAGGACCAGCAATTGGGGTCCCAAATACCCTGCCTGGGGGAGCCTCTTAGACCTTGGTGAGCACCTGTGTGAAGCTCAGGGGCAAAGCCCCAAATCTTGACAAGGCAGCCCCCAAAGAGAGAGCTACCAAGTGAGAGGACAAGCAGAGTGAGATGGTCAGGTGGCCCAGGGAGGCCAACAGACATGTGCAAGCCAAGGCTGAAGCCCCACTGCAAGGGGCAACCCTAAAGACTGACCTAGATTCTTGCCCAGGGCCTCTCAGGCTTGGGGCACTGCTCGGGGTGGGGAGCTGAGGGGTTGTCCTCAGCTGCCAGGAGGCCAAGCAACAAATAAAGTAAGATGAGGGCCTGAAGCCCAAACTTGTTTGCTCATCTGTAAAATGGAAGAGGCAGCCCCAAGGAGAGTGAGCAACCCTGCAGCGTATGGCTGGGTGGGGCCAGGCACTAGGGAAGTGGAGACAGACATCTCTCATGGTCCAGTCCGCCAAGCCCCAGCCTCAGGTTCTGCCAGAAGATGCTGTCCTCAGGCACTGAGAATTGAGGGGGATGTGTGGGGCACCTGTCAGACACCAGGCAAGGGACTTGCTGGGGAAGCTTCAGCAGATGACCATGAGGTCACAGCCTACTGGGGCACCAAGGACTTCTGTCCTCCCTGCTAGGCAATGGGTGCCAGGGGCTCAGTTGCCAGGTGACAAACTGCCTGGAGTAGCTGTAGACTGAAGCACTAGGTGACTCAGCCCAGACACTCGCACATTCGTCCCACACTAAAAATAAAATAGGCTCTCGGGCGGTCCTAGGCCAGACAGGTGACCCACCACAGCCCCAGAGCCAGTTTCAGCTTCCTCATCCAGAACACGAGTATCAATGCTGCAGTCCGCCCCGGCTGGGACCCGGAATCCACTTTGCAAACTGTAAAGCGTTTGAAAGACCCTCTGCCTGTCTAAACTGGGAATCAGCCCTTGGAGGGGTGGCGCAGGATCCAATCCGCAGCCTTTCAACTCCAGGAAGGGGCAGAGAGCGCAGGCGGTTAAAAACAACCAGACCGCACAGCCCAGCCCTAATGCCATCTGGCCTTCCTCTCCTCTGCCAAACCTGCCTGTCCTGGGCCAGGGTTGAGCAGGCCGCAGTAGCCCCTAGGTGGGCCCGTTGCAGCCCGGTTCACAGGGGAAGACTCCGAAGCCCAGGGAAATCAAGTAAAGTGCTCGAAACGGATAGGGGCAGGTCTGGAATTCGAACTCGGGTCTTGGGAACTCAAGCCCTCCTGTCCTTCTCCGGCGGTGACCGTGGGCCACGCCCCCATCTCCATCCGGGACGCGCGCCATGCCCTGGGATGGGTGACCCCGGCGGCCGTCCCGTGGCGCTCCGGCTGTACCTGCGTCGTGAAGTCTGAGCACGGAGTGGAGGACGCAGCGGGCCCACCCGGCCCCCAAGCCAGGACGGCTACGGAATGGAACGCGAAGGACCCGGGAACCGAACGCCCACGGTCCGGGGGGCGGCCGCTGACCCCGGAGGAAAGCAGACAGGAAGGCCCTAGCTCCAATGGGAGCGCTCAACTCCAGCATACACGTTCCAAAATACTGTGCAGTTCAGCCAATGACAGACAAGCTACGCCCCCTCTCCTACTGGCGCGCTCCCTCGGGGGCGGGACTCGTTGACGCACTCCGAATTTAAAGGCGCAGGGCTGCATTCCGAGCCCGCGACGGGCCTGGGCTGACAACTGTGCGTTTGTAATGTGACGCTCTGGTATGGAGAAAGCTGCCCAGTGAGGCAGCATGAACAGCGTGGTCTAAGACAGACGCGTGTCCCTTGTAGAGAGGGACACGAGCAACCAAATACATGAACACACAGGGGGTGTTGACACTAAGCGGAAATGACTTGTCCCTTCCTGAGTGTCTGCGGTGTGCTGCCAGCGACATACGCATTTGTTCATTTGCTCCGGGCAACAACCCTAGGAAGCCCTACAAACAAGGAAACGAATAAAAAAATTTTTTAATTACGTTTTTAAAATTTTTTAAATTTTTAAAAAAATAAAAATAAAATAAACACAGAAACTAAAACCAGAAGCAAAAGTCAGAAACCCGAGGACCCCGGGTCACAGGCGCAGACTCTCCCCTGCACCCCCACGGCTGGGTCCGAATCCCTCGGAGCTGCTGCACCTGCGGGCGGTGACGCCCCTGGCCTGGGGGGCTGGAACTTAAGTGTGGAGGCGGTAGATGGCTCCTGCTCTAGCACGGGGAGGGGCACTCCTCGAGGCTTCGCTAGTCACCAAATAGACTGGAAGGTGAGGGCCCAAGAACCCTAAAGCCCCTGGTGAGCCTGGCGCTTCCGCGCGGAGCGGCCCGTCTCCGGCGCAGACAGGCCCGGCCTTGCTGCGGCGCGGCGGGCGCGCAAGGGTTAAAGGGGCGGAGCCGGCGCTGGCCCAGCCCGCGGCTCCCCGGGCCACCCCCGCGCCCGGCCCGGCAGCGAGAGCGGCGCCATGGAGGCCACCGGGGTGCTGCCGTTCGTGCGCGGCGTGGACCTCAGCGGCAACGACTTCAAGGTGAGCCAGGCCGGCAGCGGGCGAGCCTCTCCTCAGCTTTCTCTTCTGCCCGTCCATGCTGGTCCCTGCTTCCTCTCCCGGCCGCCTCCGGATCCTGGCGCCGCCGGGGCCGCGACCAGGGCAGGGTGGGGCTCTTCCCCAGCCTCCCGCTGCCTGGAACGGACTACCAAGGCCTACGCTCAGTCCGGGCACGGGTAAGCCCGAGCCACGGCAGCCCGGGCACACACTCGGACTCGGAGTCACGTCGGGGGGACCGACTCGGAGGCCCCACCCTATGTCCCTGGTCTCTACCTGGGTTAGAGTGTGGACTCGGGCTGGATGAGCCCGTGCTCCCGCCTCCCCGCACCTCTGAGGTCACACACCAAAGCTAGGCCCTGACTCAGGGCCGGTAGCCTGGCTGCCCAGGGATGGGTCTGGACCCCGGGTCATCACTGCCTTGTCTCTCCCCCCACCACTTCCATCCTGTGTAGTCTTAGGCAAGTCACTTCCCTTCTAGGAGCCTGGGCTTCTTAAGCAAGGAGGTTTAAAAGTAGCCTTCTTGGCTTGGCGCTTGTAGGGCGCCAGCCGCATACACCGGAGCTGGCGGGTTGGAATCCAGCCCTGGCCAAAAAATAGCTGGGCGTTGTGGCAGGCGCCTGTAGTCCCAGCTGCTTGGGAGGCTGAGGCAAGAGAATCACTTAGGCCCAGGAGTTAGAGGTTGCTGTGAGCTGTGATGCTACAGTACTCTACCCAGGTGACAGCTTGAAACTCTATCTCAAAAAAATAAATAAAAGTAGCCTTCTTGGACAGATGGGATGTAGTGAGATTTGTCTGTGTGTAGTGTGTGTAAGACAGGTGTGTGAGGCCATGGTGGCAATTGTCTGAGCAGCTGCTGGGCTGTTAGAATGGGGGATGAGGGCCTGGAGCCCAGCCTGCTGCTGCCAGTTGGTGAGAAAGGAGGTTTTAAGTTCCAGAACAGGTGGGGAGTGCAGAGAAAGAGGGGAGAGGAGCTAGCTGGAGGGTGAGCCTCACCTGAAGGGTGGGTGAGGGGCAATCTGGTTGAGGCCAGTTTAGGTGTCAGCTTGGGACAGCCAGGATTTTCCATTTACCCCCATGTGTACACACCTTTGACCCTAGCAGCAGGCAGTTGCCCCCTTTTCCTGTCTCCATCCCCACCATCCTTACCTAGGATGCCTCATCTGTCTCCACCAGATTGGAAGACCCAGAGTCACCAACTGGGAATGTGGCCAGAGGGAGAAGGGGGCACCAGTCAAGGGCACTAATGGCACTTGCTGCCCTTGACTTTGTGCCAGAGTGAGAGGTGTCGAGGTGGACATTCTCATGTAGGGGTGAAGGGACAAGGCTGTGCCAGGCAGGTTGGGAACCATAGCCTCTGCACAGTGGGGTTTTAGGAGTCACCATCAGTTCCTTGTATACTTATGGCAGGGTGAGGGCATGGGTGGGGCTCTTACAGAGGTTCTAAGGGACCTCCACCCCAAGCAGCCCAATCAGGGCCTGGAATTGCAAGAAGGGATTTGTCACCTGTGATATCATCAGTTTTGGCCTGGCCCTCCTGGGGCTGAATCCAGCAAGAAAGATGAATCTTAGGCCAGCATTTTTGCCATATAGGAGTTTTTATTAGTCCCAATTTATGGTGAAGAAATTGAAGCTCAGCATGATGAAGTGGTATGTCCATGTCTCACAGCTGGTAAGAAATGGCTCTGTTGGCTTGGTGCCTGTGGCTCAAGCGGCTAAGGCACCAGCCACATACACCTAAGGTGGCAGGTTCGAATCCCCAGCCCGGGCCCGCAGAACAACAATGATGGCTGCAACCAAAAAAAATGGCCGAGCATTGTGGTGGGCGCCTGTAGTCCCAGCTACTTGGGAGGCTGAGGCAGGAGACTCGCTTGAGCCCAGGAGTTGGAGGCTGCTGTGAGCAGTGATGCCATAGCACTCTACCCAGGGGGATAGCTTGAGGCTCTGTCTCAAAAAAAAAAAAAAAAAGAAATGGCTCTGTTGCTACCAAAATGCTCCCATGGGCACCAGGCACCATGGAACGTGGTGGAGTGGGGCTCCCCACTCTCAGACAAGCCTTACCATGGCATCTCCCCTACCCCAGGGCGGCTACTTCCCTGAGAACGTCAAGGCTATGACTAGCCTGCGATGGCTGAAGCTAAACCGCACTGGCCTCTGCTACCTGCCAGAGGAGCTGGCTGCCCTGCAGAAGCTGGTAAGGGGATTGGGCAGGCAGTGCTGCTCCCTCTGTGCCAGCTCCTTATAGATGAGCCAGGAGGGCAAAGCCTGTGGAGAAGGCAGACAGCATCTCCAGGGGAGCTGGCACAGAGGGAGCAGCACTCTGTCCTGGGAGATCTACAGGAAGGGGCTGTGAGGGAGGGTGCTTTAGAGAGGGGGTGGCCTGTATGGACAAGGGCTCTCTGGGATGGTACAGAGTGATGGCACACAGAGACTCTGACACCCCACCAAGCCTCTGCTTCCGGGTCCCTATCCAGGAACACCTGTCGGTGAGCCACAACAACCTGACCACACTTCATGGGGAGCTATCCAGCCTACCATCACTGCGGGTGAGTGCTGCCAGGAGGCTGCTAGGTAGGGGGAAGAAGAAAAGCCAGGGCCAAACCCCAGGCTGGACCAACATCTCTGCTCACTCTCTGTGTCATGTTCAGGGGCCCACGTGTCACATGAGGGGCTCTCTTGTTGCAAGAAGTTACAACAATGCCTTGTGTAAAGTAACCTGTAAGAATCAGAGAATTCTGTGGGAAAAAAAGCTTTAAAAAACCCCAACAAATTCCTACCACCCATTTGCACAACAGCTAGAGTAATAACTGCCAGCACAGACTGAGCAGGGTTCCAACTATTCTATAAGGACTTTTTCATATTTTCCTGATCTGAACCAGTGTCACAGAGCATGCAACACTGCCTCTGAGGTAGATGGCCTGGAACAGCAGCACGATGCTGCAGGGACAGGAGGCTGGAGGGTGTTGTGTGGCTGCCATTGCTCCTATTGTTGCTTGAAATTATGGTACCATTCCCTGGCCCTGTCCACTCTCTGCCTCACATTTCTGTACATGCATGGTATGAGGAGTTTCAGCCCTGAGGGAGGACAAAGTATACTTTCTCTCAGTCTACATCCTGACTTCGTTGGTCCAGTCCTCTTTCTCTGTTCTAAAACCCCTGAGTCAAATCTATACCTCTATCCTGCCTTCTGAAATTAAGAAGAAAAGGAGTTGATCAGAAAATGTTTCTGAGAGCCCTGTCCTGGGCTCTGGGGCACATTTGAGCTGGACTTTGAGTTACGAATAGAAGCTCACCAAATAGAAGCTCACCAGGAGGATAGGAAGAGCCTGCTGAGTGGAGGGACTGAGCAGAGATGCCAGAGATGGGAAAGCACTCAGGGTTGACCTCTGCTAGGCTTCCTGAGGAGGCGCCTCACCCTGGACTCTCTGCTTATTCCGGAGTGTAGAAACCAGGAATCATGGACTTTTATGGTTCATCCCCAGGCCATCGTAGCCCGAGCCAACAGCCTGAAGAATTCTGGTGTCCCTGATGACATCTTTAAGTTGGATGACCTCTCAGTCCTGGTCAGTGGTTACCCACCCACCTGGCCCTCATGCTATCCAGAGCATTTAGTCCCCCCTCACTGTGATTAAGTTTCTAGGGCTATTGTGATCCCATATTCTAGATGAGAAGCTCAGGCACTCTTCCTGCTAAGGTCCTGGCTGTGTCCCTTTGTCCCTGAAGCCTTCATATCTATCCCACACCCCATACCCTGCCTAGTTCCAAACCTGGCAGAGGCCTGGGAGGGTGGAGATACCTCTGACCTGGGCCTTGCCCATTCCACCCAGGACTTGAGCTACAACCAACTGACAGAGTGCCCACGGGAGCTGGAGAACGCCAAGAACATGCTGGTGCTGAACCTCAGCCACAACAGGTG